TGTATGTGAACGTAAGGATCTATCACACCCGATCATCACGTGGTGCTTCGAAACGACGGACTTTAGCAACGGTGCACAGTTAGGGGGAACACTTTCTTAAAATTGTTATAAGGGATCATCTTATTTACTACCGTCGTTCTAAGTAAACAAGATGCATAAACATAATAAACATCACATGCAATTATATAAAGTAGTGACATGATATGGCCAATATCATATAGCTCCTTTGATCTTCATCTTCTGGGCTCCATGATCATCTTGTCACCGGCATGACACCATGATCTCCATCATCATGATCTCCATCATCGTGTCTTCATGAAGTTGTCACGCCAACGACTACTTCTACTTCTATGACTAACGCGTTTAGCAATAAAGTAAAGTAGTTTACATGGCGTTCTTCAATGACACGCAGGTCATACAAAATAAAGACAACTTCTATGGCTCCTGCCGGTTGTCATACTCATCGACATGCAAGTCGTGATTCCTATTACAAGAACATGATCTCATACATCACAATATATCATTCATCATTCATCACAACTTCTGGCCATATCACATCACATGACAATTGCTGCGAAAACAAGTTAGACGTCCTCTAATTGTTGTTGCATCTTTTACGTGGCTGCAATTGGGTTCTAGCAAGAACGTTTTCTTACCTACGAATAACCACAACGTGATCTTGTCAACTTCTATTTACCCTTCATAAGGATCCTTTTCATCGAATCCACTTCAACTAAAGTGGGAGAGACAGACACCCGCCAGCCACCTTATGCAACTAGTGCATGTTAGTCGGTGGAACCGGTCTCACGTAAGCGTACGTGTAAGGTTGGTCCGGGCCGCTTCATCCCACAATACGCTGAAGCAAGATAAGACTAGTAGCGGCAAGCAAGTTGACAAAATCTACGCCCACAACAAAATTGTGTTCTACTCGTGCAAAGAGAACTACGCATAGACCTAGCTCATGATGCCACTGTTGGGGAACGTTGCAGAAAATTAAAATTTTTCCTACGGTTTCACCAAGATCCATCTATGAGTTCATCTAAGCAACGAGTCAAGGGGTGAGTTTGCATCTACATACCACTTGTAGATCGTGTACGGAAGCGTTCGGGGGAGCGGTGATGATGAAGACGTACTCAACGTGATTCAGATCACCGATGACCAAGTGCTGAACGGACAGCACCTCCGCGTTCAACACACGTACGGTACGGGCGACGTCTCCTCCGTCTTGATCCAGCAAGGAGGAAGGAGAGGTTGAGGAAGATAGCTCCACTGGCAGCACGACGGCATGATGATGGTGGTGCAGTAGTACTCCGACAGGGCTTCGCCAAGCACGTACGGAGGAGGAGAGGTGTTGGGGAGGGGAGGGGCTGCGCCTTCAATTGTGTGTTGCAGCCCCCTCACCCCTCTATATATAGGAGGAGAGGGCAAGGGGGGCCGGCCCTCTAGGGAAACCCTAGAGGGGGGGCGGCGGCCAAAGGGAGAGGGGAAGAGGGATGGCTTGCCCCCCAAGCTAGGGGGCGCCCCCTTCCCTTGCCCTAGCCGCATGGGCCATAGGTGGGGAGGCGCGCCCAGCCCACTAGGGGCTGGCTCCCTCTCCCACGCAGCCCATGTGGCCCCCCGGGAGGGGTGGCCCTTCCCAGTGGACCTCCGGAACCCTTCCGGTGGCCCCCGTACAATACCGGTATGCCCCCGAAACTTTCCGGTGTCCGTTTAACCACTTTCCATATATAAATCTTTACCTCCGGACTATTCCGAAACTCCTCGTGACGTCCGGGATCTCATCCGGGACTCCGAACAACATTCGGTAATCACATACAAGTCTTCCTAATAACCCTAGCGTCACCGAACCTTAAGTGTGTAGACCCTACGGGTTCAGGAGACATGCAGACATGACCGAGATGCTCTCAGGTCAATAACCAACAGCGGGATCTGGATACCCATGTTGGCTCCCACATGCTCCTCGATGTTGTCATCGGATGAACCATGATGTCGAGGATTCGATCAAACCCCATATACAATTCCCTTTGTCAGACGGTATGTTACTTGCCCGAGACTCGATCGTCGGTATCCCAATACCTCGTTCAGTCTCGTTACCGGCAAGTCACTTTACTCGTACCGTAATGCATGATCCCGTGACCAGACACTTGGCCACCTTGAGCTCATTATGATGATGCACTACCGAGTGGGCCCAGTGATACCTCTCCGAAAACACGGAGTGACAAATCCCAGTCTCGATCCATGTCAACCCAATAGACACTTTCGGAGATACCTGTAGTGCACCTTTATAGTCACCCAGTTACGTTGTGACGTTTGATACACCCAAAGCACTCCTACGGTATCCAGGAGTTACATGATCTCATGGTCGAAGGAAGAGATACTTGACATTGGCAAAGCTCTAGCAAACGAACTACACGATCTTTGTGCTATGCTTAGGATTGGGTCTTGTCCATCACATCATTCTCCTAATGATGTGATCCCGTTATCAACGACATCCAATGTCCATAGCCAGGAAACCATGACCATCTGTTGATCACAACGAGCTAGTCAACTAGAGGCTCACTAGGGACATATTGTGGTCTATGTATTCACACGTGTATTACGATTTCCGGATAATACAGTTATAGCATGAATAAAAGACTATTATCATGAACAAAGAAATATAATAATAACACTTTTTATTATTGCCTCTAGGGCATATTTCCAACAAGGAGCAGCAGAGAAGCTTCAATGATCAGCCGATAGCCAGAGAAAGGTGTGAACTGTCTGAACCCAGGGACAAGGGAAGAACATCGCTCCCAACGACGAAGAGGAACCCTTTCCTCTCGCCTAGGCTCGAAGGCGCCGCACCGTCGGATCTTTGGCGCTCACCCAAGAACTAGAGCAGACGCCAGCCGGATTCCCATCGCAGACAGGTGCACAACCCTCGTCACGCCGCTGGCACACACCACAGCTGCACTGCCACCTCTCCCGAACAAACCAGGAGCAGAAGGATAGCCGTCGGGAGGTCGCCGAAGAAGAAAGCTGCAGAGGCCAAGAGGCGGATCATAGAAGCACCAGTTCCCGTTCCATGGCTGCAAGAAGGACTCTTGCAGGAATGAGCACCCTCCACAAAAATCGCAAACTTGGCCTCGCAGTCGACGGACGCCCACCAACCACAGTGACCCTCTCCCGAAGAACCAGACACCCAAGGCGGCGCCTCCAATGAGGGCGCGACGCGCTAGACGCCGCCGCCGACCAACCCGAGACGGGTTTTGGGTTTTCACCCGGGGTCTGGGACGGGGGTGCAGAGGAGAGCCCTCAACAGCGCCTCCAGGGAAGAAACGACGCGCACACGCGCCGTCGCCGTCGTGGCCGAAGGACCGGGCAAGGGTTTCCCCCGGACTCGAACCTGAGCACCCGCACCCTGCCTGCACCGGATCTGGCGACCAGAGTCACAGAAGGGCACGACCGGAGGGGATGAGAGAGCAGGGGAGGAGGGCGCCTGACCTTCAGATCTGGGGCAGAGGAACTCCGCGCCGCGACCGCCCGCCGTATCCTCGCTGCCCGGGCAGCCGAGGATGCCGACCACCACCTCCTGCGGGCGCCGCCAGTCGTTGAGGCAGCGTCGCCTCGCCGTCCGGGGCCGCCGCCCCGGCTTCCAGGTCCTTCGCGAGGGCACGAAGCAACGCAACACCTCACCGCCACCTTCATCAACGACCCACCAGGCTTGCCCGTCGATCCCCTCAGGTGACGGTGAGGAGGGACTGGGATTGAGCGGGGTGGCGGCGCGGGGGAAACCCTAATCGCCCCCGAGTCGCCCTCGGGAGGACGACGCGAGGGCCCGTGTATGCAGCTAGCGGTTGCTCTTGGGATCCCCACGATGGAACTCCGTGCACGTGCGCGTTAGGTCAGAGCGAAGAGAGCTTGAGTGTGAGCGGTTGCCATGGATCCACGATGGAGCTATGTACGGATGCATGTCCCTGCTAATTATATCAGCGGCGCTGTGTTGTGTGTGGCGGCAACAGGGTCTACGACGACGTGCCAGCCTTGGGTGGGGTGTCCGTCGGGGGAGACGACCGATGTGGAGTTGACATTTTGCTCATGAAATGGAATTGACGTGTGGCCAGCCGCACCGGCAGCGATATGTAACCATTAAATCATGGGACGGATGCCCGCCCATGACCACAGCGCAAGAAAAGGAAATTAAGCTGTTTCATGTCGGGCCTTGCCTTTCCAGTTTGTCCCAAGAAAACAAAATCAATGCTCACAATTGCTACTTAAAGCATTTTGAAGTACTGGTTTTTTTTTACCACCTATTTCACGAATGTGGCTCATGATGAAAATTTGCAAATACTTGAAATATTTGTCAAAGTTTACCCAAAAAATATTCAGAAAATTTTACTTTTCCTTTTTTTATTTTACTGTCATTCGAGCTCATTTGAGCTAGCTCAGAACGGTACTTTCGACAAAGTCTAAGTACTTCCGAAAAGTGGAGATCAACTGCTAATTTACTATGGTCCGAAGGAGGCGCTGCATAGGGTAGTAGACGTATAATTCCACCGCACGGAAGCAAGACTGCAGTTCTTTTTCGGGCGACCATCAGATCAAGTTTAGCAATTTACTACTCCCTCCATTCCATAATGTAAGACGTTTTTTTTGACACTAAACTAATGCCAAAAACGTTTTACATTATGAGACGGAGGGAGCAATTTTCTCTATAAAAGCATGGTTGATCATTCATGCACACACAGGCCCGACACTTTTGAAATGAAAAATGTGGAGCCAACAGCTCCTTAAATCGAAAAAAAGGAACGGGCCCAACTGTCGTTAAGACCCCGGTATGTTCAAAGCATTCGCGCACGTACTCCATGTGCTTCTTCTTCCCCCGTCCATCCTGCTCCATGTGCGGCCAACTCCATGGGATGGGAGTATATAGACAGAGGCAGCTTCCTTGACTCTCCCCACACCAAGCTCACATCGATCGTCTCCTCGACTAGTGATCAGGAACTCATCGAAGATTAATGGATGACTCCATGGAGCTGTCATGGGGCGCGCGGTGCGCGGGACTGGCCTTCTTCAGCCTGTCCATCTTCTCGGTGGCGCTCGCCGCGGTGCTCCTGCTCGTCCGCCGGTGGCCCAACCCCTGGTGCGGCTGTCACGTGTGCCGGGCTTACCTCACGGGGTCGTGGGCCAAGGACTTCACCAACCTCGCCGACTGGTACGCACACCTACTGCGCGAGTCGCCGACAGGCACCGTCCAATTCCACGTCCTCGGCTGCACCGTCACCGCCAACCCGGCCAACGTCGAGTACATGCTCAAGACCCGCTTCGACAACTTCCCCAAGGGCAAGCGCTTCGCCGCGCTCCTCGGCGACCTCCTCGGCGCCGGCATCTTCAACGTCGACGGCGACGCCTGGCGCCACCAGCGCAAGATGGCCAGCCTCCAGCTCGGCAGCGTCACCGTGCGCTCCTACGCCTACAAGATCGTCGCCCAGGAGGTGGAGGCCCGCCTCCTGCCGGTCCTGGCCGACGCCGCCGACAAGGGCAAGGTGGTCGACCTCCAGGACGTGTTCCGGCGGTTCGCCTTCGACACCGTCTGCAAGATCTCTTTCGGGCTCGATCCGGGCTGCCTCGACCTCGACATGCCCATGTCCGACCTAGCCAATGCGTTCGACACCGCCTCGCGGCACTGCGCCATGCGGGGCGCCGCGGCCTCACCATTGGTGTGGAAGATGAAGCGGATGCTCAACATTGGGTCCGAAAGGGAGCTTAAGAAGGCCATCAAGCTCGTCGACAACCTCGCGTCCGCCATGATTCTGCAGCGGCGGACTCTGGGTTTCGACAACACCCACGACCTCCTGTCCCGCTTCATGGCCTCGGATGTCGCCATGGACGACAAGTATCTCCGCGACATCGTCGTCAGCTTCCTCCTCGCCGGCCGGGATACGGTCGCCTCCGCGCTTACCACGCTCTTCATCCACCTGCACAAGAACCCTAAGGTCGCGGCCGCCATTCGCGCGGAGGCCGGCGGCGACAAGCCGTCCTCCTATGAGCACCTGATGAGCCTGCAGTATACCCACGCGGTGCTGTTCGAGAACATGCGGCTGTTCCCGCCGGTGCAGTTCGACTCCAAGTTCTGCGCCGCCGCGGACGTGCTCCCGGACGGCACCTACGTGGAGGCTGAGTCACGCGTGATGTACCACCCGTACGCCATGGGACGCATGCCCAGCATCTGGGGCGCCGACTACGAGGCGTTCCGCCCCGACCGGTGGCTCACTGGACCTGGCGGCTCGTTCGCGCCGGCGAACCTCTACAAGTACCCGGTGTTCCAGGCCGGCCTCCGTGTGTGCCTCGGCAAGGAGCTCGCCATAACTGAGATGAAGGCGGTCGGCGTGGCCGTGATGAAGGCGTTCGACGTGGAGGTGGTTGGAGAGCATGGCCGTAGTGGCTGGGCACCGACGTTTGTGCCGGGGCTCACGGCGTCCATCAGCGGCGGCCTCCCAGTGAGGATCATCAAACGCACTTTGACTCCGAATTCAGGATTCACATAATATACATGATCTTTTGGTTAAAGATAAAGATGGTCCAAATTGATATGAGCACTTTATTTGAAGGGATCTAAGGGCATCTCCAATATTCACTCGCAAATTTGATCCCGCATCAGTCCGTGGACGGAGAGACTAGTCCACGGACACTGATGCCGGAGGCCATCATTCAACGATGTCCACATACATTTCAACCAGTGTTAGAATTAAGCGGACAAAATTTATGTAAACCGGCCGGGATTTCATAAATCAAAAAAGATTCATGCAAACACAACGTATTTTTATTACATTTCAGACATTTAGAAGAAGAAAAGCCGTTCCGACCCTAAACCAATCTTATGGCGGTGGTCGGCGTCCAAGCCCTTGTTGTTCCCTTCCTGGGACCGCCTCCTCCATCCGTTGTCTCCATGAGCACCGGCCATATATAAGACCGATGAAGTGAAGCTCCGGTATCCCGCGAGGAAGAGTAGAACATGGGATACAGAACGAACCACGTGGGACACAAGGCCCAGACGCCTCTCATGCCCTACTTGTTCTCGAAGGAGACTGCACCTTGCCCGTCGCTGGTGGATGTGAGGTCCACAATGAAATTGCGGCGCCGGTGCTGTAGTTGTCCCACCGGGTCGCCTGGAAGTTTGTCGTTGATATTTAGGAGGCGTAGCTGATGTTGTTCTCATCCGTGATCGCCTGCAGCTATGCCTCGGTCGGCCTGTTTGCATGTCGCTTCAGTTATGGCCTCAACTAATTGACGTCACTGACCGTCAAATAGAAGGTCTCTAGGCGAGATCTCTTGTATGACGCTCCTTGCGTCATAAAGTTGAGGCTATGCTGGAGGCTCAAGCCTAGTGATCCAGCTCGCTCTAACATGATGGGTGGTGAGCTTCCTTGAACTATTTTTTTCTTCCAGTTTTCAATTCGATTTATGCTGAAAAACTGGGTGTTTATTCTTTACCGGGTTAAATATTTGAAATTGTTCATGATGCAAATAAAATTTTAGTTACTATGTGTTTAAAATTTTTCATACTGTATTTTAAAATAGTGTGCATTTAAAAATATTTCACCATTCAGTATGTATTTAAAAGATGTTCACTTTATATTAAATTTTCACTTATACGAAACATGCTCAGTGTATATTAAAGTGTTCAATGTGCATTTTAAAAAGTTCATTTTTATTCGAATACCGTTCAGCATATACTGAAGAAACATTAAATCTATAAAAATATATAGAAACAGGAAAGGAAAAACTGCAAGATAAAAAAAGAAAAATCAGGAGAAAATCAAACCTGGAAGAAATCATGATAAAGAAAAAAACCACTAAACCAAGAATAGAAAATATCAAGCAAGAAAAAAGTACCAACAATATAGTAAAATAGAATATTAAATTAAAAAAATGAAAAGCCGGACTAAACTGTGTGCCAACTCAATATGTGTTTTCAGAAAATGTCACCATTTTCAAAAATTGTTGATAAAATGTGTCCATATGCGAGAAGATTTGTCCATATGCGAAGTAGGTAAGGCTATCCCCCTTCATTGCCATCAGTGCTTCCGATGAGTCAGACTGGACAATGACAGCCCCCTCACTATGTTGAATAGCCAGGGCCATTCCGTGCATTAACGCATGTAGTTCGGCCTCCAGTGCATCATTGCAGTTAAATATGCATCTGTAAGCTGCAAAAATAACACTGCCGCCATACCATCGTAGTACCATCCCTGCTGCCGCAGAACCATCTGCCTCGGAGTAGGCTCCATCCACATACAAGGCGACCCGTCCAGGTGGTGGCCTCGACCAGGGCAGCACCGGGACTGCTGCTCGCGGTGTAGCTGGGTTGATATCCACTGCCGGCATCTTCCCCTTCATAGTACACGTCCTTCGGCCACCGTTCCTCCCCATCCCCGTTCTCCCGCCACCGCTCTTCCCCAATTTCATTGTCCTAACTTTTAAATTTAAAAACATCGTTATGGCTTCATCTCTTCAAGAAAAAAAAATCTCTCTACCGCACAACATCCTAGCACTCCATTGCTTGAATTGTACCGAGAATGCAGATCTTAGTAGGTGCACTAATTGTTGTAACTACTATTCCAAAATAACTACACTCATTTCGATGATTTACTACCTCCGTCCGGGTTTATTAGGCCCTCTAGTATTTTGAGCCAAAACTTTGACCATTCATATGACTAATAAAATATAGAATATATGCTACAAAAAGTACATAGTTGGATTTGTACTTGAAAGAGCTTTTCGAAGGTATAATTTTTGTAACATATAGTTTGCATTTTATTAGTTAAATTTGTTGGTCAAATTTTAGCCCAAAATGAGAGGGGGACTAATAAACCGGGACGGGGTAGTAATCTGTTGTGAAGTCCAAGTTTTGGCAAACTCGCTGAATTAAAAATGTAGTACAAACTTTATCTCAAGGGTCAGAAATAAATGGAGCATGCGATGTTCCTTAAATGTCATGCCGAATCTAAATTACGGCCTACTCCATGCATGTTGCAGACGGGCAACTACCTTTTTCTTATAATGGGCACTTTTTATTGACTCACCATATCGCATCAGAGCGATACAAGGAAAATCAATTTACATCCGGACTCTGTATGATTAGGATGCACATAACCAAAAAATCGCACATTCTAAAAAATGCGGCAAAAAATAAAGTCGCTCAAGACTAAGTTAATGCCTAAGGCGTGGAGTGGGGAGGGGGGGGGGGGAGTTTATCTGTACATTACGCTGTCATCTATGTTGGGTAAAAATATCATTGGCCATCTACTTGAACCGCGTATACGCGGTGCTAAACTTCTGCCAATGTCTCCAAAGAATAGACAACAAATCGTAGCCATTGTGTACATTGATAGATAACCTGTAGTGAGGAGAACTTTTTATCATTAAAAGCCATATTATTTCTATATAACCATAGTGACTTGTAAGGTGAAATTTATAAATATAACTACATCCTAATCTCTCTAAGAGAAATCGAGAATGGGAAGTGAAGTCAACCAATGAGTTAGCTGAGTTGTTGGTTGAGTTATACCTTACTGTGCACAATTGCAACTTCTAGAAATTAAATGGACTTCTGAACTTCTAAATGTGGCTAAAAAGGCATATCAAACCCGAAGCTAGTGCATATATGATTGTGTATCGCTTTCAGAGCACAACAACATGGAAGTCCCTCCACACATGACATAGTAACACAAGCCACAAGGAAAGACCGACATTTTTAGAGAGTTTAAGAACTTATGTACCATGGGTACCCAAAAAGACCACGGAACAAAAGCAGTTCCTGCCTAGAAATTTAGTTAAATCAATTGCTAGCAAGGAGGCAACAAGTGGACCGACCCGATTCTACGTCAAATCGATCATAGTTGATCTCAAGAGTTCCGTCTCGGGCCCATGTGACGAATCTGAAGGCATGAATCCTTCGCAATCCAACGACGGCATTCTTCTTGGCCGGTCAATTTGCGACGTCGTGCTCATCAACATGGCAACAACGGCGGACATGGTCGGCCTGTCACAAGGAGTTTCCTGGACACAGAGGAGCCCAATCTGGATACATCGTGTCAGCTCGGACAAGAGCTCAGGCTCGGACTCAGAGAGTGGTACCATTGTTGAGTCCAGAAGTTCCGCGATCATGTTTGACTCCCACAATCCGCAGGCCTACAAAAGGAGGTTTTCCAACAATCATAAAGCTATGTAAATAATCTTTGTATAGTATGTTTATGCTTGATATACTTCATCTCAAGAAGAAAAGAAATTATGTGCATCGATTAACTATAAGATGCGGATGCATTTGTGAGATAGTAGGATTTACATGCGAAAGGAGGCCCTGCATGCCACAATTCCTTCGCCCACTGAGTGTCTCCAAGAGAATAACTCCGAAACTATAGACGTTACACTTAAGTGTCATGTTCCCTTGTCGCGCATACTCCAGCGCTGTCATACCCTCTTCAAGAAACTCAATAATATCAGGATATATGTATTGAGTTGATTCCACCCAATTTGAATGGAGAAACAAAGATCCTATAATAGGGATGCATGCATTTGTTACTTATGGTGAAACTACAATTGTTTGATCAGGCCGTGTCTGATCCACTGCGAACAACTTGGCAGTTCCAAAGTCAGCGATTTTAGGCTTCCATTCGTCATCTAGCAGAATGTTGCCCGGCTTAAGATCCCTATGGATAACCTTGTCACCAGATCCTCCGTGTAGGTAGGCAATGCCATGCGCAATCCCTCGAATTAATTCCAGTCTCCTTGCCCAGTTCAGTGAGGCACGAAGGTTAACATTGCCTGTCAGTGTCAAATATGCATTCATTAGCACCCGCAAAAAAATGCATTCATTAGACACAAACATATGAGAGAAAACTTGAGGATCTTTCCAACCATATATATGGTGGTATCCTGTTTGGATTCCTACATGAGAAAGTTCAGTCCTCGTAGCAACTTGAGAATGAATTTGTGTTTCAGCAAGTAGCGAGTACCGATTACTAAAAGTGCTAGTTATCAACTAGAGGGGGGAGGGTGAATAGGCGATTTTTATGGAAGTCTTCAAAACATGGGAGTTTTGAAGACAAACAATAGAAATGACACTATTCATATGCAGCAGAAGGTAGACTACACTAGGCAAGCCATAGTCAAGTATTCAATAAAGTGAAAGCACGAAGACTATTAGCAGCTAGATAGTAAGGATCAGGATGGAAGATAGTATGAAGCCAATCAGAACAAGTAGTCACGCAGTGAAGTCAAACAGATAATGCATGCAGGCAATGACTTCACGAAGACAAACTGTAAGTAAAGGGAAGTGATAGATAGAACCAGTAGCTTGGGGAGGACAGAGGTTTGTTTGACCAGTTCCAATTGCTGTGACAACTGTACGTCTGGTTAGGGAGGCTGAGATCCAACTCAGAAGACCGCGTCTTCACCTTATTCCCCTTGAGATAAGGACACTTAGTCCCCGCCCAATCACGCTGGTAAGTCTTCAAGGTAGACTTCTAAACCTTCACAGACTTCGTTCACCGGCAATCCACAATGACTCTTGGATGCTCAGAACGCGACGCCTAACCGGCTGGAGGATTCACAGTCCTCAAGTGTAACAAGTCTTTCGATCACGCGGACAGAAAGACTTCAGTGATGCCAAACACTCTTTGGGCTCTGGGTGTTTTGGGCTTTGTCCTCGCAAGGATTCTCTCTCAAATGCTTTGGAGGTGGGTTGCTCTCAAACGACAAAAGCCGTGCACTAACTCTGAGCAGCAACCAATTTATGGTGTAGGGGGTGGGCTATTTATAGCCACTAGGCAACCCGACCTGATTTGTCCAAAATGACCCTGGGTCACTAAGGAACTGACACGTGTCTCAACAGTCAGATTTCAAACACACACGAAAGCTAAACTTGGGCTACAAGTAAAGCTGACTCATCCAACTCTGGATAAGATTTGCTCTCATTGTCTTCGCTCGAAGACATAGGATTTGGTTGAGCATCACTTCAGTCACTCTGACTTTGTTCACTTGGACCCCACTTAACAGTGCGGTGGTTCCTATGACTCAACAAATAAGAAAAGGAAACAACGAAGTCTTCGCGCTCCATAGTCTTCATACAATGTCTTCTCATGTCATAGTCTTCAATACGAATAGCTTCACAGACCACCATTGTCTTCAATGTCTTCACACATTTTTAGGGGTCATCTCCGGTAGGTAAACCAAATCAATGAGGGACTACTACCTGTGTTATCATGCAATTCTCACAAACACATTAGTCCCTCAACCAGGTTTGTCGTCAATACTCCAAAACCAACTAGGGGTGGCACTAGATGCACTTACAATCCCCCCTTTTTGGTGATTGATGACAACCTGGTTGAAGTTTTCAATGGGGATAAAAGTATGTGAAATTGTAAAGGATTAAGATATTGTCTTCATAGTTGGCAAAAAGTCTCCCCCTGAAGATGTGCATATAAATGTTTTGCGTTGGAATGCAAATGCACATGGAAGGTTGTACTTGTGGAGATCCTCTTCACCATATGAAGACAATACATCATGCATGAACAGATATACATGAATAATGACATGCATATTGAAAAATGGACATCTGCGGAATGACTTCATGCGGGATTTATCATCGCATATGCGGAATTTATCATCGCATCACAGAATAGCAGAAAAAGTAGCAGACGACCATCAAGTTTAAGTGTTACAACTCAAAGAACCAAATGTATCAAAAGCGAGAGTTGTAAACACTAGGCAAAAGTATAGGAACCACCCATATGGACCCGCTTGAAGACTATCAACATATGCTTCTCCCCCTTTTGTCAGTAAGGACCAAAAAGGTTTGAAGACACAGTCTCTACTCGTTCCCATAAGTAGGAGAGGCAGCAGGGTCATCATTGAGATTTGGTGGTGCAGACGGGCTTGGTGCAGTGTCGATCCGCGCCGAAGTTGGAGCTGGTGACGTAGCATCATTGGCGTCATCAAGAACTCTGGCATTAACAGTTGCCGTGGAGGAGTACTCAGAATCTTCGAGCGATGGAGTCTGACGCAAGACAGCATTCCTGGGAGGAGTGGTGTCGAACTTGAGTCTCTCTGTGAAGCCATCTTGTTGAAGATCATCTTCAGAGCTCATCAGCATCAGACCCTTCCATGTCCGCCGACAGGTTTCATGAGTGGCAAAGGCATTCTTGGTGGCAAGGTTGTGAATGCGGTTAACATCCACCAAGAGGCTTTGTATCTGACGCTTCAGCCAGTCATGATGCTTATCCTGTTTTTGATGAAGAGCAACGAGAAGCTCTCGGTCGTTGAGAACACGTGATCACTTTTGAGGCCGTTGAGCAATAGTGCTTTCAGTGGCTTCAGTATGGGCACAATGAGGTGCACGTGTAATGCCAGCCAAAGGATAAACACAAGTGGCAGCCAAAACTCCTTCAATGGGTTGAGTGAAACTCTGGCGATCGACATTGTGAAGATAAATTGGCTCCTTGGTAGGATCTGGATATATGGCTTCAATAGACATATCAACCTCTGGTAAGAAGATAATATGGTTGCGTGCAGAGGGCTGATAGTTGAAAGCAGAGTGGAGCTTGATCAGACGCATAACCCAGGGAGGATAGAACTTCAGTCCGAAGATGTCGGAGCCTGATGCAGCAAGTTGACGGATGAAGAAGTCTTGAGCATTGAAGCATTTGCCATTGAGAATATGGAAGACCAACGTCTTCATTGAACCTTCAAGCTTTGCATTTGGAGAATGTCCTTTGACAGGCCAAAGAGTTCGCCGTATGATGTGGTAGATGGTGCGTGGCAGATACTCAAGGTCTTGAACAAAGAACTCCTTAGGATATTCAGCATCTGGAGGCAAAGGCTTCATCATACTGAGCATCTGGCTCCTGTCGGGCTCGGGCTTCTGAAAAATGCTCTCCAAAGCATCACGGTGAAGCTGACAACCAGGTTCAAACAGATCACCTGGAGTGGGCAGGCCAGTGAGCTCAATGATATCAAGAGCTTTGGCTTCATGATGGACATTGCCTGTCATCCACTCAAGGATCCATGTCTTCGGATCCCTGTTGTAGCCGCGAATGTGGAGGGTGGCATAGAATTGTAGTAGTAGCTCTTCATTCCAGTGTTCCTTGTCTATGACAAACTGTAAAAGGCCAGCTTCTTTGAAGCAATCTAACGCTTCTTCCAAACAGGGCAGGCCAGCTATAGCTTCAATGTCAAGACGCATATGGGGAAATATGCGCCCTTGATTGTAAAGAATGCATGAGTAGTAGTTGCGCTGCTGATAGCTCCAGAACTGATCAGACGAAATTCTTGGCTTGGAGTAGGGTTTCTTGTCGCTATAAAAGAAAGTGTTGTGTGCAATGAAGCCATTTACATTGAATGATCCTGGTGCAGATGCAGTACCTGGAAACCTTGGCAGTCTTGGCTTTGGCTTCTGAGCCGTAGGCCTGTGCTCCACATGGTAGTCAAACTGAGGTCCGGGAGCAGGCGGAGGAACCAGAATGGGCCATCTGACAGTGACAAGCTCGCCTTGGTAATATGCTTGCTCAATGGTATGTGGCCTTGGGGGAGGTACATGAGCAGTGGAAGTGGTATTGACTTCAGGCTACAGATTTGCATCGGGTGCAGCATGGGCTTCAGGTGCATGAGCTTCTGGCACCACATTAGCTTCTGGCGCCATATTAGCTTCGGCCATGACAATGTCATTAGCTTCAGTTAAGTTGTTTGTGGCCGCCACAATATTGTTAACCTCCACTTGAGTAGCTGGAGGGTCAGACACGTTCTCCTCGAGAACAGCTTCAGGGTTGGACGGGGGTGTAGCAACACGTTTTTCATCTTCACGGGGTTCTTCTTGTTCATAGGCTAATGCAGCCGGTATGTCTTCAACAACATTTGCTTTAGACGCAGAGACATCGCAGAAGGAGTGGCTTCAGGAAATTCTAGCGGTGCTGCCACATTGGGTTGCACTTCTCCTTCTGGAATGCTCGATGAATCGACTTGTGGCCTTGGTCCTTTGCGAAGCCTGCGAAATGCGGGCGACTCCTGTGGAGAGGGAGTTGGCTGGGCCTCAAAGTCGTCATCATCATCAAGTGCTGGATTGGTGACTTGAGTTGGGGGAGTCCTTGGCAAATCCTGACTTGGAGTTGCTGGTTGTGGGCGATCAGCCCATGAGGCATCCTGAGTGATTGGCGTCAAAGGACGGCCAATACTAATGAGTTCATTGTACGTAAGAACAGGCGATGATACCATGTTGTGCTCGATCTAAGGAAGGACTTCATCATCATCTACATTGTCCTGGGCACCAATGTCTTCAGCTGCGGTGTGGTCAACAGCTGGATCTTCTTGAGCTTCAGGAGCCTTTGTGGTAGCAGGCTCATGAACTATTATCTGAAGCTCTTGGTGTTCGGACGCAGGACGAGCAACAGAAATTGGCTCGACAATGAGGGGCTCTGTGGG